TTATTCTGCAGCATGGAATATCTAAGACAAAGTTTTCTAGTAGCTCCCCCAAAAGTGAATGTACAAGGCATTTAGCCATTGAAAGGAAGTATTACTTTCTTGACAAAAGAGACCTTAGCCTTGTGAATATGTGTAGGAGCACAATTAAGTATTCAAATGAAAGTAGATCAACGAGAGGGGTATGTATCTGTAAATCTTACCAAATACTAGGGGCCCAGTGCACGAATTCATGCACATTGAAAGGAACTGTGGGCCGCGAGGCTGTGGTAGGCATAAGGGTGGGTTTTGGCCTATCCACCACGACCCCGCCAGCCCCTCCCGCCATGGCCCCCAGTCTCCTGTCTGCTGGAACCCCTGCTCCCGCCTCTGCCGCTCCCACGTGCTGAAGGTGCTGGCCCTGCTCGTACCTGCTGATGGCGCAGAGCAATTGAGACCGGCGCCAGCAGCGGGTGTGAGTGGGGCTGGCACCATCAGTGTGTGCGAGTGGTGGCTGCTGCCCTGATCACCCCTCAGGAGCAGGGGGAGGTGGAGAAGCCCTTAGGGGCAATCAGGGCCAGCAGCTACCACTCGCGCCAAGTGATCAGGGCTGGCACTGGGTACCGACAGTGGGTGCGAGTGGGGCCAGCACTGGCAGTGGGTGTGAGTAGCAGCTCTGGTGCCAGCAGCAGGTGTAAGCTGGGTGGGACCGTGGTGTATGGGAGCAAAGAATTTTCAGTAACCACCAGATGCTTGCCCCACCTTAGTCTGGTGCCCCTGCTCACCTGCTCTCCCATCCCACAATGGCCAATGCCCGCCATGTTCCAGATACACCCCCTGGTGGTCAACGCATGTCATAGTGACCAATTGTTCAGTTATTTGGTTGTTCAGTTGTTCTGGTTGTTCTAACATTCAGTCTATTTGCATATTAGCCTTTTATTATACTAGTATAGGATGGTTATCATAATTACCTGTGTTATACTGGAAATCATTGATATCTAAGTGTTTGTGTCTGAGTTCTTATAGTTATGAGGTAGCATAGGGAAGCAAAAGTTGACACAATATGAAGATATTCTCTAATGTACTGAGCAATTGCAACTACTTCTCACACAAACATCCTTATTTATCTAGCTTGGCTCAGGATCTGTCTCTTCCCAATAAGACAAAGTTTCTATTGGTCAGCATTTCATTGTCAAATGTTGTACCACAGAATGTAAACACAACAATTATATTATGGAGCAAAGTAGAAAATCTTGAAAAAATAAAATTGATGATGTTGATGTTGTGTAACTCTCTGAGTGACCAGCAAAACCAATAACAAATTAGAATCTTATAGAAATCAACCAGTTAATTAAAAAAAATAAGCAAAAAGAGTAAATGAAGTTATAAATGAAAATGATTTTAATATTTAAGGATTATTAGAGGCTTCTAGGAAAACCAAAGACTCCTGAATATTGAAAAAATATATTTTTTAATGATAATATAGCATATCAAATTTGAAATAAAGTTTGTCCAATCAGGCTATCATAAAATTTTTTGAAAAAATATTACCCCAAAACTTAAATGTAATTCATTGTTTGTTCATCTTAGAAATTAAAACTAGTTGGAAATGTAATATATGTGTTATTATGAGATAAATTGTATACTTATTTTCATATATTTTAGATTCTTTTTCAATATGAAATCACAGTACAATTTTTTTTCACTATTGCCAAGTGGATTCTCTTTAAGTAGATTACTCTTGTACAAATCATCCTGGAATAAGAAGGCTGTGCCAGTCCTTTCATGACACTGGAGCATCTCTAGTTTTTGTTTGTCTCCTACTCTAGACATTGAGTCCCTGGAAGTAGTCATGGACATGACATAGGCAGTCGCTTCAATATCACTGCAAAGTATTTCAAAGCATCATCCATAGCTTTGTAGTGCACGGATTTGTTCAAAAAACCAATTGCTCTAACTTTTAAAGTATGATAGAAATAGGAACAGATAATAGAGGAAGAAGACTCATAAAATGTGATAGCTAAAAGAGACCTTAAAATTATTTAGTGTCCATCTCCCCCATTTTACAGTTGAGGACACTGTAGAGTTGAGAGGCACTAACTTGTCCAGTGTCATGCTGCTGGCTTGTGACAGAGCTGTTACTTGAAACCGGGTCTCTGGACTCCTGTCTAGAACTTCCTTCAAAATGGTATTTCAGCAATCATAGGAGGTGATGAACTCTGCGTAGCTGAAGCAGACCTTGCACACTTTAATGACCTAGCAGGTACTAGTTGCTGGCTAATCAACAGAGTTCTCTGCCATTTGCAGGCACAGCACTGCACAGTGGTGACAAACCCAGGCTCTAGAGCCAGACTGCCTGGGTTTGAATGAGGCTCTTCCATGTCCTAGCTAAGTGACCTAGTCTCTCTGCTTTAATTTTCTGGATATTTTCTGAACCCCTACTATGTGCTAAAAGATTATAATAACCCCTTCTTCAGAGGTCTAAATTTTGCTAATATATATTTAAACTACTTAAAATATGACCTGATTCATAGTAACCTCTCAGCCATTCCTGTATGAAAAAAGAAAGGAATTAGCAAGTCAATGTCAAGGATCAGAGGTGAGCAGTGATTTGGGTAAGAAAACCTGCATCTACTAACCAATTGACCAACTCATGGCCTGGGGGCTGGTTAGACAATGTCAAAGGCACCTAGGAACTATATGTTTACTCTTCTATGGGATTTTCTATATGTGTTTATCTACTGAGGTTGAAGATTCAGTCCACCTATAGTTTCTTCATGGTCTTTCTAACTTTTAACTTTTCATTTCCTTTTTAAATAAAATGAGTTAAAAATTAATTCACCTATTGTTATGATGCCAAAACAGGGTGAACCAATCATGTTCATTAGTCTGGCTTTCTGATAGGGAGCAGCTTATACTTGATAGTCCAGATAAACAAAGTCTTAACCAATTGAAGTTCTGACCAGAAGCAGGTGACCCCGTTTGGCTGACCCAGATAAACCTTCTCCACTTACAATACAGGCTACCTGCACATGTATATATGCACAAAGACAAATACACCAGTTTGGATTATCAAATGTTCTGTCCCATGCTGTAGACAGAATTCAGTTCATGCATGCCAAATTTCTTCACAATTTTTCTCAATAACGTACCAGTCACAGAAAATATGTATCAAAGACCAGTGGAATTGACTTTCTATTTTAATAAAAACATTTGTTAAATAAAGCTAAGCTAGCTTAATTTCTTTGCAGCCTAGATCCCATGCTAATTTGAATAATTTATCATTTCTATTTTTCAACTTTCCTAAGGAGTAGATTCTTCAACCTTGTTTAAAATTTCCTTCAAATTTCTCACCAGAAGAAATGCTAGGCATCCAGTTAAATTACAAAATGAGAATCCAAAGAAAACAGTCAATCCTACAAAGATGTCTCCATTACCTCCACCCTAGTCCATTAGATTAGGTAGTGCTAATACTATTTTATTATCTTTTAAAAGATATAGAGAGAATATCCAAACTGTTATAAGACCAGGCCTCCATGGTGGGTAGAAGTGTGGACTCATTCCAGAAGGCTCCTTTTAGAGGATTCTTGAGGCTTGTGAAATGCTCCTTCTAAAAATTAGAAAACAGAAGAAAAAAAGGCTACAATTGAGCATCCAATGCAAATGGAATTAAACTGTGAAAAGCTCCAGGGAACAAGGAAAATCCAGTTAGACTTTTGTTTTTCTGTAAATATATCAATCATTCTTTCAATATTTATTGAAAGGCAATGAAAGGTGGGGTTAAGAGCTTGGGGTTTGGAGTCAGAAACATATGGAGTCAAGTCTAGTTCTGCCACTTATAAACTGTGAGATCTTGGGTAAGTTGCAAGCTCCCCTGAACCTCTGTTTTATTGTTGGTAATAAAACCTACCTCATGGGGTTGTGAGGATTAAATCAAATAGTGCATATGATGTATCTCACATTGTTTTGACACCTGTAAGCATTAATTAGCTCTGTGTATACTGAGTGGCTACCATGGGCAGGCAATTCATGAAACAAAGTCCCCAACATCTTAGCAAATATATTCTAAATATATTCTAGTTGAGGGAATTTAAAATATATATATTGTGGTCCAAAAGAAAATTAAAGCAATGTAAAGAGACAAAAAGAGATGGAGTTGGGTGGGATTGCTACTTTATATAAAGACTTCAGGGAAAGCCTCTATGATAGCATCAGGTTTAATCAGGGACTTAAAGAAAGGGGGGGGTGGTGTAAGGTCTGCAGACATGTAGGAGTGGAGTGCTTTAGACAAAAGCCCAAATCAGGAGAATGCAGTGATATGCTGGAAGAACCACAAGGAAGTTGGATGTGGCTGTAGCAGAGGGAGATCCAAAGGGAGCTGGGGCAAGGTCAAGGAGGTCACTGCAGGTCATATGTGAGGAGCTGGAATTTGAAATTGAGTAAGGTGGGTTCTGAGTAAGTCATGGGAGGGTTCTGAGCTAGAAGTGACATGCATTCGGTTTTAAAGGATACTTGGTCTCTGAGTGGAGAATAACCTACATTGGGAAAGCAAGGATACAAAGAGACCAGTTACAAAGGTCTCTACTAATCCAAGCAGGAGGTGACAGAGGCTTAGACTAAGGGGTGAATGGAAGAGGCAGTACAAAATGCTTGGATACTAGATATATTTGAGAGGTCAACCTAAAAAGTTTTTCTGTTGAATTTGATGTGTGCTATGAGAGGAAGAGTGAGGTCAATGATGATGACAAAAGGTTTTAGAGTGAGTATGAAAAATGCAGGAGCAACTTACTTAGATGTGGAGCACATCTGGAGTGTGAAGTGCCGTTGCAGATAATGTACTTCACCTCAGTCAACACTCTTTCAATCCCCTGTGCCTTCTTTCCTTTGGAGTGGAAACTGAAAAAAATGAAATTCTCCAATTCCCAACCTCCATCTGATAGAGTTCTGGCCAGTAAAATAGAGGTAGAAGTTCCTGGCTTAACTCGTATGCTTTTTGTCCTTCCCACCTTCTTCCTGGAATGTAGAAAGGACACTGAATTACAGCAGCCATCCATGATGATGAGAACCAAATATGCATCATAAAGACAAAAGAGGTAAGAATGGGTTCTTAATGTCACCATAGAGTAAGAATGTCTTCCCTGGACTGAGTGACATAAGTCTGTTATGTTAACCAAGCTTTCTGTTATTCCAAGCAAAATGCTTTCTTAAAAAAAAAAAAATTATATTTATTGGGGTGACATTGGCTAATTATTCCTAGCAGAATGCTTTCTTAACTGATACAATGTATATTAAATATCTAAATGGTGATAATGAGTAGGCAGTTTGACCTATAATCTGAAGATCAGAGAAGAGGTTAGGTCTGAAGATATATGCCAGGACATTGTCAGCATGTACATATTACTAAGTGCTGTGGGGCTGGCTGGATAAACTCACAGGGTGAGTGAGTATAGAAAATGAAGGGAAGAACTCTGAATGGTGAGCCTGTAGTACCTTGGGACCAGAGGTCAGGAAGAGAGGAGAATAAAAAAGGAGATGGAGAAGGCATGGCCAATGAGAGAGAGGCCATACAGGTGGTATCCTAGCAGCCACTTGAAGAATATCTTTCAAGTAGAGACTGATGAACTATGTCAGATGTTAATGAAAGATTAAGTAAAATGCATCAGTGGACTTGGAAATACAGAGCTCACTGGTGACCTTGACACTAGCATTTTCAATGCGATATGCAGGAGCTACAATTCTTATTATGTGCTTACCATGCCAAGACTCTGATGGGACCTATGCTTATCTGAAGCAATCCAGTGCATTACCTCCTTCTTATTAAAATGAAGAAGCAGGAAACCAAGATGGCGGCATAGGTAAACACTGGAAATTGCTGCCTCCCACAACAAATTCAAAAATACAACTAAAAGACAAAACAGACATCATCCAGAACTACAGGAAGGCGTGCTGAATGGAAATTCTACAACGAGAAGGAAAGAGAAAAGCACAGTGAGACTCAGAGGAGGTGTGGAGGTGGAGTGCAGAGGTACGGAGGCTCGAGTGCACGTGGCAAGGGCTGGCAACTGAGGACGCGGCTGTCTTTTTGAATCGGGAAGGAGCCACAAGCCCCTGACTGCTCTGAACTCCAGTTCCTGGTGAGTCTCTGGGGACCTAGACTCATACGGGGAGAAACTGGACTGTCTGGAAGCAGGCAGAACTCGGAACTTGAGGGTGGCTTTCCCTCAGAGGTGCTTGCAGCAATTACTGGGACACTGAGACTCGGGGCCCCTTAGGGCAGGGCTGAGGATCAGCCATAGCTGCTTGCTCTGCCCTGTTGATTCCCTGAGACCCTGCCCCACCCAGGCTGCAGCAGAGGCTTTTGCATATGAATGCCCTGGCCCCTTGTAATCTGAAAATTACCTAACAAACTGCAGCTGGGCCAGACAGACCCAGACTTTCCAAGAGAAGGCCCAAGGCCCCACAGCAGCTTGCATTGCTTCACAGCTGGGCCTCATTTGGGCATCTCCAAACCCCAAACAAGGAAGGGGAATCTGCAGATCTCTTCATAGCTCTTGCTGGGTAGCCTCAGGCAGAGGCTAACTTAGCACCTCCTTAGATCCAAGAGCCAGTGTACCCAGTAGTCAGAGTGGGACCATCCAGATTACAACCCCTCAGATCCATAAGGGTCACACTCAGGGGGCAGACTCAGCACCAAAGCCCCACTGAAGCAAGTCTAGCCCCAGAAGGGTGTCTCCAGCACAGAAGTTCTCCCACTGTAGACACAGCTGATTCTCACAGCCAATAGGCCTGGAGGTCAAGTCCTCTCAGTGATACTTAAACAATCAAGACTTAACTACAACAAGACTGTGCACAAAGCTCACAAAGGGGTGCACCAAGAGTGTCCACCTCAGATAATTGGGGAGGCTGAGCCACTGGGCCCTATAGGACACCTAGCACACAAAGCCACTCTACCAACACAGGGAAGAATAAAAAATGCGGAGACAAAGAAACAGCACACAAATGACAGAAATGGAGGAAAGCAAACTACTGGATATAGAGTTCAAAACCACACTTTTAAGGTTTTTCAAGAACTTTCTAGAAACCGCCGATAAATGTAGTGAAACCCTCAAGAAATTTAGTGAGACACTCGAGGTTATGATAAAGGACCAACTAGAAATTAAGTATACACTGACTGAAATAAAGGATATTATGCAGAGTTCCAATAGCAGACTAGAGGATCGCAAGAATCAAGTCAAAGATTTGAAATACGAAGAAGCAAAAAACACCCAACTGGAAAAGCAAAATGAAAAAGAATCCGAAAATACAAAGATAGCATAAGGAGCCTCTGGGACAGCTTCAAGCGTACCAACATCCGAATTATAGGGGTGCCAGAAGAAGAGAGAGAGCAAGATATCGAAAACCTATTTGAAGAAATAATGACAGAAAACTTCCCCTACCTGGTGAAAGAAATAGACTTACAAGTCCAGGAAGCACAGAGAACCCCAAACAAAAGGAATCCAAAGAGGATCACACCAAGACACATCATAATTAAAATGCCAAGAGCAAAAGACAAAGAGAAAATCTTAAAAGCAGCAAGAGAAAGACAGTCAGTTACCTACAAGGGAGTACCCATATGACTGTCAGCTGATTTCTCAACAGAAACTTTGCAGGCCAGAAGGGAGTGGCAAGAAATATTCAAAGTGATGAATACCAAGAACCTACAACCAAGATTACTTTATCCAGCAAAGCTATCATTCAGAATAGAAGGTCAGATAAAGAGCTCCACAGATAAGGAAAAGCTAAAGGAGTTCATCACCACCAAACCAGTATTATATGAAATGCTGAAAGGTATCCTTTAAGAAGAGGAAGAAGAAGAAAAAGGTAAAGATACAAATTATGAACAGCAAATACACATCTATCAACAAGTGAATCTAAAAATCAAGTGAATAAATAATCTGATGAACAGAATGAACTGGTGATTATAATAGAATCAGGGACATAGAAAGGGAATGGACTGACTATTCTTGGGTGGGAAAGGGGTGTGGGGGATGCGGGAAGAGACTGGACAAAAATCATACACCTATGGATGAGGACAGTGGGTGGGGAGTGAGGGTGAGGGTGGGCGGGGGGGGGGACCGGGTGGAGGGGAGCTATAGGGGGAAAAAGAGGAACAAATGTAATAATCTGAACAATAAAGATTTAATTTTTAAAAAGATGAAGATCCTGATAAGCATAGTTATATTTTTAAAAATATTTTCATTTTTCAAATTATGACAGTAATCGTAATTTTACTAGAATAATGTATATTAAAATGTCAACCTTAAAATAAAATAAAATAAAATAAAATAAAATAAAATGAAGAAGTAGCCAATGAAACAAATAAAAAAGAGCTTTCATTTATGAAACTTCAGTAAGTGTTAGGAAGAAGATGGAACTGAGAGGAGAATTGAATTCCAGTTCTTCCCCACCACTCCTGCATCACATCCTGAATGGATCATTGACACAACCTGGTCTCATTTCCCTCATATCTATAATAGGTTAGACAACTTTAAGATTCTTTTCCAATTCTAATCTTCTGTATTTCTAGACTAATAGATGAATATTTTCAAATTTATATACTCAAAGTTTCAAATTTATATACCCAAAAAGCACCTAACATGTTGTGGACACTCCATACAGAATTATGTGCTTAATGAAAAGTGACATTGACACAAAGCTAGGTGACTAGCCCAGTGAGAGCTGGCATGTAAAGGCTCAAGGGCTCCAACTCCAAGGTTAGTGATAAATTTAGTCTGAATTTCAAGATTAAAATATTAAATCTCTCTGTTCATAAAAACATCTCTCTCTTTTTGCACCTCTACAATTATATGGATACTAGCCAAGTAAAATAGTCAAGTCTCCTTGACTAATTGGTCTGGATTTCAGGGACTTCAAGAGATAAATATACCTCATATGTATCGAGACAACTGATTTGAATACGACAGCATCATTTAAAATAGCTCAGAGTCTTTCTTAAGTTAAAAGGCAAGAACAAAGTCCCTCAAAGAGTAAAGGAAACCTTTTTATTTTTATTTTGGGAAGGTTTTGTTTGATTCCTCAAAGTAAAAGTGCCCCAAATTCCCACACAAGCAAAAACATAGTTAAGCTGCAGAGTTCTGTCTTGAGTATGAAAATATCACAGCCTAGTCTTATGTCAGCTTGAAAGATAGTGTCATGCAGAAAATTAAGACCATCTGATGAAATCATGTCATGAAATGTGGCTTGAGAGAGCAGCTTTTTGTGGGTTATGATTTGATATATTTTCACACCAAAACTCAATTGAACAAGCAAGAAGCCTCAATTAATGCAAAAATTTGAAAATTTCAGACAAATTTACAAGGTGTTTACTGAGAAAAGGGAGGGGGAACATCCTAAATACTGTCTCTTGATTTTATGTTATGTATCTAAGGAACCAAATGCCTCAGCTTTTCATTTAGAGTTTTGAATTTAATCTGATGGCAGTTTGGATATAATAAGGATGCATTTATTGTTAATTTCCTTAAAGCCTTACTATCTAACAATGTAGACCATTATCGCCCCAAATACCTTCTGTGTTTGGAGAGATTTCCATATTCCACAGTGCACAGAAGCCGACTCTAAAGCAAGTATTAAGAAGAATATGTGAGAAGCAAGAAGACAGCTATTTCTTTAGTAACTAGCTGGTCTTTTTTTTTTTTTTTTCCTCTCTCTGCAGACCTGTTTTCAAGAAGATGAGAAGGAGACTTGACAGGACTTTATTGGTTCATAAATTAACTTGGTAGATTTACAATCATTACTTGGAATGCCAGGAACTCTTTTTAGGAACTAATTTTCAAGAGGGAAGAAAACACGTTTAAGTCAGAATATGAAATTGACACCTCAAGCTGCCCAGAAAAAGGTGGGTTAGTTTGTTTTTCACCTATGGCCCTGATCCCATCTGCCACCTACACGATTATTTTGGGCCAAAGGGAATGCTTAAACAGATCTTCATGATTATGTTTTCTTTCCAGTATAAGTGAATAAACAAGAAACCATCTAGCTATGTGATCATTGAGATGCAGTCAGTCAAATTTGTTGGCTTCTTTAAGAGACTTTAATGAAGTGGAGAAGGTCAAATGAGCACTATGCCAGAGTCAAAAATATCCATTACTTCCTGCTAACCTGCATGTCTAATCCAGGAGTGAAGAAAGATAGGTTAATATCTGTGTGACCTCCTCCCAACTCCCACCCGGAGATGTAAATAAGCCAACTTTTGAAGATAAATGGCCCCATCCAGTGCAGACCTCTGGGCTCAGGGTTCATGAGAGGTATTTTCCTAAGGACATAAGTGAAGGAGATTCTATATTGACAAGGGGTGGGGAGAAATTCCTACCCACATCTATTGGATCAAAACTCCCTTGTCTATCTTTTTAAACCCACACCCAGGGGAGAGCTACATGGAGGTCTCCAGCCCATTCAAAGAATGGATGCAGAAGAACAAATATTTAAATTCAGAGCCCTCCATTCCATGGAAAAACATAGGCTACTAATGACAGCACTGCCCATTTGGCCAAAGCAAATTTGAACCCCACATTTTGCTGTGGTCCAGGCAAGAAAAAAAAAAAAAAATTCAAGTCAGATGGGGCTAATTATAGGAGGCAGAGAGTGGGTAAAATAGCTCCTTATTCAGAAGCATCCACATATTTTCCTGTGATGAAGAGCAAATATTTTGTTTAAATAGCAAGCAATTTTCTATAAAAGTGCTACTGCTTGGAAATGCTCTTTATGATTTATTGCTGCCTTTTAACCTGGAAAAAATATTAATAACTGAGGAGCCCTTGTTGGTATCTTTATTATGCTTAAACCCAAATAGCCATAATATTATAACTGGTGTGACCACATTCAATATATTTCTTTCATGAATGCAGCATGGGCTTATTAACAGAGACCAGAAAATAAAAATAGAAGTGATCGTCCAGGCTTTAGCTTTACATGGAGATACCACAGCAGCAAAAAGGCAGCTTAACTTTCAGGGAAAGCTGGGGTGAGGCTGCGCGGAGAACCCCTCCGCATGTTCCCTTTTCTACCATAGGCCACTTGCTCTGCCTATGGACTCATGTCTTCCTTCAGCTGTTTCTTCTGGGAAAGTCAGAATCCAGAGCAGAATCTCAGTGAAACAGAAACCAATAAATTAGATCTGTTTGTGAGCAATTTGCCGTTAGTTCTATTCTCCTTGCCTGTTAAGATTCTTTATTTACTTCAGCAAGAGATTTCTGCTGACAAGTCCATCCATTTACCACTAGCCTAGATAAAATGATAATAAACAAAATGTCAAAAAATGTATTCATGGGGCTGTCCCCATTCCACACCCTCCATTTTTCCTTTTTCCTTTTTCATCACGCTGGTATAGTATGAACCAGGGGAGCTAAAACATTTAAAACTGACACTTTGGCGAAGGCTTTTAGTTTAATTACGTTTTATGATGATGTTTATGTATTATATAATTATGATATATATATAAGTATATATATTTATATTCTCTCTATCTCTATCTCTATCTCTATCTCTATCTCTATCTCTATCTCTCTCTCTCTCTCTCTCTCTCTCTATCTCTCTCTATCTCTATCTCTATCTCTATCTCTATCTCTATCTCTCTCTATCTCTATCTCTATCTCTATCTCTATCTCTATCTCTATCTCTATCTCTATCTCTATCTCTATCATCTCTATCTATCTCTATCATCTCTCTGTCTCTATCTCTATCTCTACTCTATAAAATACCAAAAGCTGGGACAGTGAGAAAGAGGGCACATATCTTTCAGCTCCTGCTGCTTATGTTCCTGATCTGATTTGGCTAATATTCATGTCTCCAGGATGGGGAGGTTGGATGGAGGCACACTGGGGAAAGGAAATTTTCCATTTTATACTTATGGATGAGTCCCAGAGGAATCTTTTGTTTCAAAGTATCTTTCTAGTCCTTTGGGTGAAAGGCAAACACTGAGCCCTTCTATCTTGCACATAACTCCCATGGAGACACCTATAATACAAAACAGAGATCCCCCGAGGGCACTGTTATACATTTATTATAAAGCAAAGATTAAAACAATTTTATGGAAATTAAAGATAATATGGAACATTTGTCTCTTTCTCAGTCAAAGAGTAACATGCAGCAGTTCAACAAACAGCTCCAGGCAATTCCACGCGAGATGATCGAATGGCTGGGGCTGAGGGGACATGCCGGGCGGCTGCAGACGGTGAGACGTGGGTTTTTTACCAGGGCATCTTGCCGGGGCTTGGCAACCGTGCTCAGGTGAAAAATGATATGCCTGCAAAATCAGAACAATGGGCTAGTCCAGCGGTACTTAGGTGGTTTGCCCTCCTGAAATCGATCTTGGCAGGACAGGATGCGAACAGCAGGGTGGGGACCAGGAGGTGCTCTGGAGAGCTTTTTGTTTCCCCTGTTTTGGAGTGTGTGTGTGTGTGTGTGTGTGTGTGTGTGTGTGTGTGGCAGGGGGTGGGGGGTGGGGTTGGGGCTGTCCTGTTACTACTTGATCCACATGTTCACTGGAAAAAAAACGTTCGAAAGATCTGAAAATTTGTAAAAACTCCAAGCTGGTAGCATTTCCATATAATAGAATCCTGTTACCCTCCTCCCCCCGCCCCCCGTCCCCCAAAAAAGCGGTTGTCAGAGGAGGGTAAAACATCTGTGTTAAGCAAGAGATGTATTCTGCTTCATTTGCACGCAGGGGTCTGAGCTGACCTCTGGCACACTGAATTTATGGTGAAAGGGGGGGCTTTTAAATTGAGTTTGTTTTATTTTGATCCTCTGTCTGGATATTTCTTTCATACCTCCCAGGCAGTCGCTCTCATGGGTAAGCTTATATTTTTGTTAATAAAAAAATGCAATTGGTGCTAATCTAGACTTCCATCATGGTCGTTCAAGCTTTCCAATGTTAATAACCACTCCGAAAGAAAGGATCATCAAAGAGTTGAGACTGCGTGGTTTTGCGGTCAAGGCAGTGAGCCATATTCAGAAATGTCTGCTTTCCTTTCCCTGGTCCACTGCTGCATAACCAAGAGACATTTATAAGTTAATTGTTTTCTTTCAGTCCTGTAAAAGGCGACTCTTTACTTATTTAACATGGGTCTAGGGATGGCAATGATTTATGGAGTGAACTAGTTAAGATACTGGGCTTTTGATCTGACTGACCTGGGTAAGAATCTCAACTCATTACTCACTAGCTCGATGACATAGGATAATTTAGTAACTATAACTCATTTTACACATATTAGTTATTGTAAAGATTAACTGAGATAATGTATGTAAAGTATGTTGAGACAGTGAGTGGCACATGACGCTCAATAGATGTACAGATTTTATAAATAATGATAATAGCTAAATGTACTTAGGCCTCTACACAAATAATTAACGAAAGAGGAAGCATTATCATACAATTATTATTCATAAATAATAACAGCAACATTTGTATACAGATTTTTATGAGCTCTGCACAGCAATGAATTTTAATGCCAGATCACAAGCACCATACTTCACCTTTCATTTAAAACTATATGACTTTTTCATATAGTGGCATAATGTAGTACAGACGCTTGAAACACCTCCAATTTTAATTCCCCTCCTCCCCACTGCCTCCCGCTTTGTGCTCTCTAATGAAAAGTAAAGGTTAGGGGAAATCTGTTTGAGGCTCAAGCTTACTAGACAGACTGGGCCAGCTGATGGCGCAGGGCTCAGAGAGTGATGTGAACAGGAAGGGATATGTGGAGACACTTATGAAACACACAGAAGGTGTCTGCAATTTCGTAATAAAATATACACGAGGGGGAAAGAACTCAGCACCAAAAATAGCAGAAAAAATATATTTTCAAGAGCTTTTCCTTTACTTCCTTTTGCCCATCCAATAGGAACTATTTTGTCCTAAATGGATGGATGTGTTGAGTATAATAAATACATAAACTCTCTTGTTAGAATTCATTAAAAAAATAAATGTAAAAGAGACCTCCTTATAATCACAAAAAGACATGGAAGCCTGGGGTTCCTGGATAATAACACATATCAAGGAGCATTAAAGGGACAAGGCCTTCATTTTTACTTAATAACATTCACTCCGGAGTGATATTGCTTAATTATGGTTTTTTGAATGTTTGGGCAATAAAGGAATCAGAATTTATTTTCAAACACATATTGATGTACAGCCAAGCAATATAGTTGTTTCTTATCTCTTAATGAGGTTAAGACCTATGCCTTTAAAGGGATCACAAATAAATTCTTGGGTGTATTTTGCCTTTTAAATATTTTGAATATATGAATTCATCAGGATTTGGGGATTAAGTAACTGCTGTCTACACAAAAAATCTGCAAAATTTTTCATTACTTTTTTATTAGTTGGCAGCAAATACTCTAACTGTGAACTTTTATGAAGCTATAACCATAAAGGACCTTCTGATACTGGTATGATGATAATTCTAAATTTCCTCTTTGCAGCTGTGGTTGATCCCCTCTATTTGGTACAATCTATTTTTTGTGTGTGACTTAACAGAAGAAAGTTGGCTCACTACTGTATTGCCTTCAAGCACTTTCTCGGGAAGTTCTTGAATTAAATCCGCATGGAAACCCAATTCCCCTCTCCACCTTTCCCTTAAGGTGGTTATAAAATGTCAGTAGAAAGCAAAGCTGTTTATTTTACTTAGCATTGGATTCTGTTAGTAAATGAGTTTCTGGTGGGGCTTATGTCTAAACCACATCTTTCAATCAGATTCTTTACATTACTAAATGAGTATTAAATCGTGCCATAAATATTAATTTCAAATTCCGAAGTTCAGATTTCACCTAAATCCAAGGGAATAAGCAGAGAGGCCAACAGTTTAACAAGTTCTAGATTCATCTTCTAGGTTCCCTTGCAAAGCATTGCTTTTCTCGGGTATGTAGTGGGCCAGAAGGACCACTGTGTTGCCTTCCCCACAGGCAGCTTTTCTGCTTAGCAGGGGTCTGTGGGCCACTTTAACACCACAGCTTGGAGATCTCTGCAAACAGTGTGGGCATCCTGGCAGGATGAACGGCTCTCTGAGAATCCATGAGATGCTATACGCTCAGGCAGGCCCTGGCTACTGCTTCAGGGGTTGGGACAGTTTTAAAATATGCTGGAACAAGGCAGGGAAAGAGCATCCTGGGGTGTGGATTAACCTGAGGTAATATGGTTTCTCTGGGCTGGGCTTTAGGGGTGTCTCTTATGAGACCATGCTGTGTTTCCATTTCCAAGGTCTAATGAGCAAGAGGTACTCAGTGGACCCTCAATCTCTCCATCCAGTTCTTTCCAACTCCACTCACTGGAGCATCGCACAAAGCACAACAGACAGCAGGCTGCTGCTAATAGTGCGTGTGTAGATAAGACATGAAGGCAAAGACTTCTGTTGTGTTTTTCCCCTATAATTTGGCTTAACCCTGGAGATATTTTATCTTTTCTCTTAGTAAAGCCAAGTGCTTTAAGAGATGGGCAATGACATCAGCAGAATTTGCAAGATGGATGACAGAAACATCTACTTGCTTTGCCCCCCCTTATAAACCTGAGCCTGTTCTTTCCACATAAAGTTGTAGAAGTCTACCATTTGTTTCAGGGACTTGAGGAATCAATGTACACCTCCTTTCATTAAAGAGAGACAGGCTACCCTTTGGTACCTGTTTTTCTGTCCTGCTTAAGTTTTAAAATTCTTGAGGCCAAAATATGGTATTCAGTGGTTCTCCATCTTTTCTTTTGGGAAAATCCACTTCATTTTGTTACAAAATCTCATGATCCTCCATATCTGTGCTTTAAAATCTGTATTATCAGTAATATTCCCCACTCTGGACATTTAAAAATAATAAATGAATCTGTATGAATGATAATGCTATTTGACATAATCCTTGGTTTTAGCTTCACTCACCTCCAGCATTAACTCCTCCATTTCCCAGGAGCCTAGAGCCCACATATGGGCAACCACCAAACACCCTGCCTGGAGGTGGCTGCTGGGAGGCATTTGATACGGTTTTAAGTGCAACAATATTATCTGAATGGGTCTTTTGGTATTGTCGGAAACCTACCTGTTAGCACCATCCTATCCCTTTAGTGCAGCGGTTCTCAATTTATGGGTCGCGAACCCTTTGGGATTCGAACTACCCTTTCACAGGGGTCGCCTAAGACCATCGGAAAACATATATTTTCGATGGTCTTAGGAACCGAGACACCGTTTCTCTATCCGTCTCCAGGCGGGTCTGCCTACATTCAGATACGCCCACATATGAGTACCCGGCGTGATGACATCATCGCACCAACCCCATCACATACACTCCGTACAAATACAGGTGTGTGTGACAGGGTTGGCGCCATAATGTACTTACGCGGACCAGCACACATGTGTAGAGAGCAGCTACTGTGTAGAAAGCAGCTACTCTGTTAAAAGCAGCTACTGTGTTGAAAGCAGCATTATTGGAGGTAAAATGACACTTCATGAATTATAATTACTGGGTAAATGTAAAATCATGTACTGTAAAATCATCAACTACTGCAAAAAAAAAATCTGTATCATGGGAACTTAATCTGGATGCTGATCGGTCTTTTTATATTCAGCTGTGGTTGATGTGAATACCTCCCCCTTGTGATAGTAATGGGTAAGTAAAGAAACAACACAGAGAATGGTAAATCATAGGAAACTTTAATGAACTGTATTGACTGAACTATGCCATGTATCATCTTTTGTATTATTAAAGCTATTGTTATGTATTATTTTCATTAGCAAACCATCCCATGACAATGGATCATGTAGAGAAGAACGTTAAGAAAAGAAAATATAGTGAGGATTTTTTACAGTATGGTTTTACCTCAATAATTACAGCAGGAATTGAGAAACCGCAATGTGTTATTTGTTGTGAAATTCTATCAGCCGAATCTATGAAGCCGAACAAACTAAAATGCCATTTTGATAGCAAGCATCTGAACTTTGCCGACAAGGATACAAACTATTTTAGAAGCAAAGCTGATGGACTCAAGGAAGCCAGACTTGACACTGGTGGCAAGTACCACAAACAAAACGTAGCAGCCGTTGAAGCTTCATATTTGGTGGCACTCAGAATCGCCAGAGCTATGAAACCTCACACCATTGCTGAAGATTTACTTTTGCCAGAGGCCAAAGACATTGTTCGAGTTATGATTGGAGACGAATTTGTTACGTAATTGAGTGCAATTTCCTTATCTAACGACAC